AAGAGTAAAAATGTTCGAGGTCCCAAAAAGCCATTGGAGGGCCGCTTCATCATCTCGGAGTTCAATGTGGATACAGGCGAACCGGGGGCCAAATAAAATGAAATTCATGCACCACTGTGGTTACCTTGTATGAGACCGGCTCCCGATCAGTACCCGCGAATGGAAGAAGAAGACCAATGCTCCTCATATCAGTTTTGTCTCCGATCATGACAAGACGTTAATTTGGAAAGATGTCTTGGTACATTTCACGCTCCAAACAGATGGTTATGATGATATAATAGATGGTGATGAATTGAAGGAGCGAGTTAGGGATTGGGCAATGAAGAAGATGGCCACCAGTTTTAGACTTGGAAGAAACACTATATACGACGTATGTCAAGAAGAACATAGCACCAGATTTTACTGTCCTAGGCCCGATCTCAAAGCAGAGGCCCTATTGGGATGAGTTTGTATAGTACAAGACGTCGGAAGAGGGTGTGAGTCGGGTGATAAAGAACCAATGTAATGCCCAATGTAAGACATACCACCATAACTTGGGATCGGTGGCTACCCGATCGCCATTAAGAAGTGGAACAAAATGGAAGCAAACCTTCTTGCCAAGGGTATCACACCGAATCACTCGAGTGGGGAGAGCGTGCAAAGAATTGGTTTTTTTCGCTCATGGGGAACCTTTGGACCAGGAGAGATAGGGAAGTGCGTTTATGGTGCAAGACTGCAAGAACCAGTAGAAAGATTGTTTTATGCTCAGAGAGCTACTGCTAGTGGTGCGTTCAGGCCCAACAGAGAGAAGGATGGTGACACACGCCATCGGGACTATTGAACATGGTGGCGAACTAGAGGCAAAGGAAGTGTCTCGTGGGAGCATGGATTCCCTCAGATGACCTTCCCTCTGAAGCCGCCAGAGAAAAAGAAGGAAGAAGAGGCACAGCTGGCTCCGAGAGGTTGGAGGAAGCGGTGCGTGAAGCACTGAGACAGGGGAAAAAAAACCTTGAAGCGAGAATGCAGGAGGAAATCGAAGGCAAGTGCAAATAGCGGTGAGTGCAAGCAAGCGGGCATTAGAGCCAGGAATCAACATTAGCCAACTGCATTGGGTTGAAAAGCGGTTGCTAGGCTTCCACGGAGATACCAAATCAAGGGGACACAGGAATGCGCTTCCCTGTGGATGACATCACTGAACCTTGTACATCGTGTGAGCTACACATTCCGAAGGGGAATTCCACAATCAAGGTGGCTATCGGTCTTGTTAATCCTATCGACCGAACCAAGACACCAAGGATTCATGGGAATATAATCCAAGAAGGATATGCTACCATCTCGGTAGATAAAGCTGAAAAAGGTTTTAGTGATTTGCCTCTTGACATTCCTAGAGGTGATGGCGAGAAGACTCTAGGAGAAGTAGAGAAGACATTTATTCTATGGCACAAGCGCTACATCATCATTCCCGGAATGTCGGCTCCACCTCCTCCTGAACTACCTCACCATAGGTGCGGATGAAAACACTACATCATTAATTTATATTGGCTTAAATAATTAACAATCTGCTCATAATAATATGTCATTCCTTTTTTTTGTAGCAGATCCTCCCCCAACCTAAATCCAATTGTTCAATCGCCAGATCATCATAGTGCTCTCTACGATGACATTGTGTTGGAAGGCGAGGTTGCATCCACACCATCTCCAAGGAGGTCTCCAACGCCGCAGCCGCCACCACCAAGGAGGTCTCCAATGCCGCTGCCACCACCTCCAAGGAGGTCTCCAACGCCTCCCCCGCCCCGCCTACCAAGAAGCCAAGTGCTAGCAAGAGGCCAGCCCCGTAAACGAAGAACCAGTCCCCGCCGGCAAAGAAAGCCACCATGAAACCAAGGGCTATTCCCAAAATAATATCTGAAGAGAAGGAACTGATGCATATAAAAAAGATATGTCCAGATTCTATGACAAACTTAAAAAGAATCAAGAAGCAAGGAGAAACCCGGAGAAACCATACTTCTTCGTAGCTCCAGATATTCTAAGAAAAAAGGTGGCTTCTTACCAGCAACAACAGCGGGAATCTCGTAAGCCGTCCAAATCAACGTTAACGGACTATGACCGCACTCTCACCAAGTCAATTGAGGCGGCACAGAAAAAGAAGCGGGAAGGGAAAGGAGTTGCCCAACTCGGACAACAATCGCACCAATTAGTCCCCCCGCTAGTTGTTGGTAATGAATATGGTTCGAATTTAGGATTAATGCATCAGGCAAACATACCTCCGGATGTCGATTTGGATCACCTTGGTGAATTTATTGATGAGACTGGTCTCGACCTTTACCGGATGTTTGGTGATGGAAACATTGAGAGTGCAGCGGAGGTTGATATTTGGAAGAAAAAATTTGTACTAGGCTAGAGTCTATACAACCCTCAAGCCTTATCTGATCTGGGGACGCAAATGTACCTGCTAAACAAGTGGTACATGCAGGCGTCTACCGGTGGAGACTTTTGCGTTGGTGTCAGAATTAGAGACAAACATTGGTTCCGTGGCGATGATGTTATGTATGTTGACTTTGCAGAATTTCATCAACTATGCCACCTGACCTCTCTGGACAAAGTTATCATTAGCCGCTATTGCCTGTAAGTAATAATTCTTTCGATCTATTATTAAACTCATCATATGTGTGTATATGCATATAAATTATCCTAACAAGTACTATATATATGTAGATTTACAACGACAGAGCTCAGAAAAGGTAGGCTGCAATGAAATTGGTTTTGTTGATCCCCATATAGTATTCAAAGACCCAGTTACTCCAAAGACTAATTGGAAGTATGAGTCAGAGAGTAACCTCATGAACTTCTTAGTGAACCAACACCACAAGAAGGATATACTCTTTCCCTACAACTTAAAGTGAGTGTTAATAATGTCGATCATCCTTAATGGCTCATATGTTGATTCTAGTTAATTAATGAGTGTTATGCGTTATATCCTATAAACACATGCAGCAATCACTGGATATTGATGGACATCGATCTAGTGAAAAGTCACTTGATAATCTATGACTCGATGAGAAAACCACAACAAGACTACCAAGATATGATAGATATTATCCAGATGTAATTTCAGTATCTCTAGCAACTATATATACACACAAACATGATGATTAACTATATCTGATGATGTGGCAAAATTTTTATTAGGCAGTGTTTGGAAAACCTTTATTGAGAAGCAACACATGGGAAAATGCAAAGCGCCACTGAATGTAATCCCTTTGAAAGTAAGTCTCCTAAATCGCATCATCTTTATTAATTAAACATATAGTTTTCACCGGATCACCAGATTGGATGATAAATCTTTTTCTCGTAAAGTGGTGTCTGAGGTAGGAACAGGGGAACAACAACTGTGGTTACTATGTTTACAAGTTTATCAAGGTGGTCTCCCAAAGAACTCCTAAAGAGAGACTCAAAGTATGTTAAAAATACACTATATATTCATTTAATTATTATTATTGATTGTGTTACTATGTCTTTATATATATATTTACATATATTAATTTATTTTCCTTTAATTCAAACATGTAGGCTCGATGGTTGGAGGAAAAGGTCATACGACAAGACCAAATCAAAGCAATTCAAGAGTCTATAGCCGGATTTTTTAATAAGCAGGTCATCGATTCCAAAGGCGAGTTCTACTTTGACCCAACACTGCCATGGAAGCCAAGCTAGAGGATAAGAGGAAACTTGTTATATCACAACAACTGTAATACAATCTTTTGTAATATATGCACATGAAATAATATAATGTAAAATACACATATGCATGCATGCATGTAAATATATATATATATATATATATATATATTTTTCTATGCTTGAATTGTGTGATTTAATATGTTCATTGTGCTTGAACCCAAACATACTATACACGCGCATAAATGTATAATTAGCAACATACAATACGACTTCGAAAACCTATTTTGAAAAGAAAACAAAAAAATGAAAAGAAAAAAAAACCTTTAGTCCCGGTTCGTATTACCAACCGGGACTAAAGGTGCCGGCCATCGTGGCATGTCAGGAGACACCTTTAGTCCCGGTTGGTGTTATCCACCGGGACTAAAGGTCCTCCTTTAGTTCCGGATGCTTGCTCCCGGGTGGAGAACCGGGACTAGAGGGGTTTTCCACGGGAGTAAAGCTCTGTTCTCTACCGGTTTATCTTAGAGAATACCACGGTCCCTAAAAGATAACAAAACCGAAAGAAGGATGCTCTTTAATAAGCCTAGGAATGTTTTTAGAAGTTGTGTCATCGTTCCAATTTTTGGTGTTTAGATACACAACTCCATATCCCTTTCATCCAGGAAATTCCTTCTCTCCATGCATAACCAAATTTTTGTGTTTAGATATGTTGGGCGGGCCCTTTCGCTTGGCCCCTTCCCCCATGCAAAGAGCCGTCCCGGAAGCCTTCCCTAGATGTTTTTGGTCGTTTCGCAAGATGGTGTGCATTTCGTCAGGCCGCGGGAGTCTTTGCCAGGGCTCGACATATGAAGAGCTTCTGGAGCAAAGGCGCCACGTTTGCGGACGATGAGTTGCATCCCTAAGGAAGATCCCAGCGAGGACTAGGTGCCCGAGCGAAGGAGCGACACGGCTCCGTGTGCGAAGTCGAGCGAAGGCTTTAGTGGTCCCCGTGGCCCTAGGAAGGCGGATGCTTTTGGATTCATGTGTGAATTTGACCAGGGTGCCACCCACCCGAGGGAATATTCTAGGTATGTTGAATACGTGTGGTGTGGGGGGTGCATAAGGGTCCTTGTGTTGTAAGGGAGAACCTCTAAATAGTGCCAATTTGTACAACTGGAAGGGGGATGATGAATATTGAAACCACCGGTTCTTTATTGGCTTCACTATTCTCTTCGCTATTTGAGAGTTTGGCAATTGCCCGTATTAGAAGACTTCGGTCTAGAACAACAAGATACCCATGTTACAGTATATATTTATTGACGATTATATATATAGAATCACGCAGCTGGTACTGCATTTCATCACGCATCCTGGATAGACAGCTTGGCGTACTCCGTCTCTGATTCCTGGGCTGATCTACCCTTGCACTCGTAGTAGAACGCGATCAACGCGCAGTCTTGGAACAACTCCACGGCGGCCATCTGGACGGTGTACAAGACTCCCAGGAGCACAGCCCCCGACGCCATGTTGCCACGGGCGCATATCTTGGCCTGCCAGTACACCGGCCTGAACACGGCGGCGAGCACGCTCATCACGGAAACAAAGAGCATGGCACGTCTCTGCCTTCCCTTCACCAGCTGCCACGCTTGCCCGACCGCGCCGGCGCCATGGTGGCGCCTAGCTGCGGATTCATCCACGGCCACGACGACGGCGAGCGAGCAGAGGAAGGACAGAAAGACGTAGAAGACGAAGGCGACGAGGAGAACCAGGCACCCGGCGAGAAACAGCCCATGGTAGTGGTACCGCCTGAACGCGAGGAAGGCCACGAGGGTGGACAAGGCCAACAGCAGCACGACGGCGGCGGTCTTGAGCGCGCAGACGAAGGCGACCGTCAGCACGGCCCCCTTCAGCTGCTGTTTGGCTCTGCCGAGGAGCGCGCCAAAGGTGTGCACCTCACCGTCACCGGAGTATGTCGTGACGGCGGCGAAGAGGGAGACGAGCTGGATGACGGAGCCGGTGATGTCTAGTGACACGAGATAGGCCGCGCCTGCGAGGAACAGGACCCGGTAGTCATCCAGCGTCTCTCGAACGAGGTGAGCGTAGTCCGGGCCTCTGGGGTCGGTGCTCATGAGCGTGTCCATGTCACGGCCGACCTCAAGCTTGAGGGGCTCGACGCCAAGTTCGTTGGCGACGAGAAGAAGAGAGATCCATGCCACGAGGATCATGAAGATCGCCGCGAAGAGTCTCCTATTCCTGCCAGGGAGGAGGAGGCCTTCCTTAAGGAAGTTCAAGGACGATGGGGTGGTAGAGCTAGCAGGCTTGGTGGCAGCCATGGCTAGAGGTTAGACAGAAAGACGAGAGGAATGTAAATGTATTGACATTATGAGAGGAGAATAATTAACGGTGATGGTTTAAACCTTTATACTGTATGTAAGAAGAGGGTTGAGGAGAGAGCGAGGCAACAGATATGTCGCTCTTCCCAGAAGACGATGCAACAGATGAAGGCCAAGAAACATAGCAATTAAAATGAAGAAGCCTGAACTGAACTGAATTGATCGGTCTGGCTGGCTGCTTTCTTGCCTACCTCACGCTTGTCACATACCAGCCAGCCTTGATTATTTGTTTTTTTTCTAAATCTAACATTTACACTGCCTCAGCAGTCGCGCCATGCATGGTGGCTTCTCGACGCGGCGGTGATGTGGGTAGACGCCACCTATCTTGACGCGGCGGTGAGACGCCACCAAGCATGACGCGGCAGTCCGCTTATTAATTCACCAGCGATGCAGCAGGCCTTCGCGAACACAACTGGTGAAAAGGAGATGGATGGAAGTGACAATCAGCACTGCAACAAGGCACGCACACGGCCTGGGCGCCTGGGTGGCTTTGCACTTGCACGGCACTCGGCATAGGCCAAACAGGGCAGACGAGTGACCAGAGTACGTGCTCCTCCTGGCAGTGCAAATGGGCGGCTGGCACATCAACACTAGCACGGCAGCGCTGGCGCTCCGCTAACATCCCTTTTTGCGCACCCCTAGTTGGTGTTTGTTGCCCCTCCTAAATTTTAATCGCTGTCCCATCGAATATTTGATATATACATAGATTATTAAATATAGATTAATTATAAAACTAATTACATAGTTTGTGACTAATTTACGAGACGAATCTTTTAAACCTAATTAATCCATGATTTAACAAAGTGGTGCTACAGTAACATATGCTAATGACGAAATAATTAGGCTTAAAAAATTCGTCTCGTGGAGTATTGATGGATTATGTAATTTGTTTTTTATTAGTATCCGAACACTCCATACAACATCCTCACGACACTTCTCCTAAAATTTAGTTAGAAGCTGTTCTGGCCACTGGGCCTCTTAACTATTTTGAGAGTTGGATAACCTTTGAGCTTCCGGATATAACGATGGGCAAGTATAAATTGGGCCGTCTATTCTCACGTAATTAAAGACCATTTGTTGCAATTGAAAGCATCTCACAAACTCAAGAGGCTGCTAGACTGCTGAAGCTCAGCAGGCTGTACAATGTGGGACCCATGCTGTGGCCCATCGTCCTGTCTTGCTCACCACCACTGAGCTGAGTTTGGGCCTAGCCTAGTAGTTTCACATGAAAGCAACAAAGGCTTTTACGTTTTATTAGGCTGCGATCACTTACCATGGATTTGAACCTAGAACTATTCCAGCTTTTCAAAAATATACAAATTAGTAAACAAATTCCGACTAGAATCATTCCATCCAGAGCAACCGAACACGCCCTTACCTGGCCAAGCTCTAGAAGCTTGATGGGCTCGACGCCTAGCTCGTTGGTGACGACAAGGAAAGAGATCCAGGCGATGAGGAAGGCGAAGATGGCAGTGAAGGACGTACGATGGAGTGTGGCAGCCATGTCTAGAGCTTAGAACCAAAGACGAGGAATGCCGATGTATGTATTGAGATTATATGAGAGGGTCAGGGGACTAACATTGTTGGTTTTAACCTTTATTTAAGAAGAGTGTTGAGGAGAGAACAAGGCGTTTGGTGAAAGCAACTTCATAGAAAAATGTGAACAATACATTGGCCCTGTTTACTTCTCATATAATCGTTTTTTTTATTTTATTTTTTCAGTCGAAATAGTATTTTTCTCTCACAACAAATTAGCCGGAACAATGTTTCGGCTTGTTTTTTCAGCGAAATGGACGCGGCCATTATTATACATGCATGTCTCGCGCAATTAAAATGAAGAAGCCTGAATTAATCGGTCGATGCCTTGCTTTTGCGAATACATCAGTGACTGATGGCCAGATGGGAGGAGCGCGGTGATATATTGTCTATTACAGTACCTGATTTTAAAAGTCTGACCTCCTTCCAATCCTCCTCAGCCATCCTTAAGGGGATGTTTGGGACTACTCCTCTCAACATTTTTTTAGCTCCGCTCTACATTTTTTAGCTAAACGGTTTCAGTTTCATACACTCTGTTAGAGGAAAAATGGTGGAGTTATAAGAGTACCTAAAGGGTGCTTCACAAACTCCAGAGTTTTTGTGGAGCTGCTCCACGGTGGAGTTTGTGGAGCAGAGTTCGTAGAGCAGCCCCAAACATCCCCTAACTTGTCTTTAGCACCCATGGTGTTACTCCCTCCATTTCAAAAAAAAACATTGTTCTACTCTCTCCGTCTCAAAAAAAAAAATAAGTATTGTATATGGAGGAGTCAAATAATATTAACTTGATTTGATTAGGTTTATATCTTTAAGCGAAAGGGCCTCTAGCGTAGTGGTTACAGCACCCGAGTAGCATCCAGCAGACCTGAAAGCGAATTAAACAGGTCTGAAGTAAAAAAAAATAGGTTGGGTTTTCCCCTGCTAACTTTGGTCAAAAAAATATTTATATCTTCAAATAGGTTTATTATGAAAACATATCCGTAATTAATCTAGTGATAATTATAACGCTTCATAAATTACCAATTTTTATATTTATTTGGTCAAATTTGGGATATATTGATTTGTCAGGAAGCGAGACTACTATTTTGCTAGAAAGGGAGTAGGTTGGTTTTATCTAGGTTATTAAAATGTAGATGCATGTAGGGGTGAAAATGGATAGATGAAGATCTGAAATGTTCACATCATGTCTGCGACAACTTGTAATATGGGTTTACAATGAAAGCTTGGTATATCATGTACACGACACTAATTAAAATATGTCTTTAGTTTTTTTCTAGGATTGTTTTATCAATTTATTTTTATTCCATTTCTACCCTAGAAAAAGTTCCTTTTTTAGAACCTTTTAGAAGTTCTATCCATGTGTTTTGATATCCAAAATGTATTATATATACTAGGATGCATTTAGTAGGGTTTTAGATTCTCATATAAACGTTTCAGATATAGATTCTCTTTAGAAATGTTTCTTCGATGAATCATAGCTGCTAGGTTCTTGAAACTAAACTAGAACTAGAAAACAAGGTTTTAGGTATTTCTTTGGACTAGTAAAAAACAAGAATCAGCTGATTCTCCTTTAAACATTTATCTCTTTGTGCCGATTGACAATGATTCTAGTGATTCTACATAGAATCTAGAACGTTTCTTGCTACCAAAAGCACCCTAAATCTAGTAGTGCTTTCAAAACAAAAAAAGGAAATATTCTTTTCTACATATGAATATCCATATTCATATTTGTTTCTATAGTAGATACTAGATAGATGTATCAGAATCCTTTTCCTGTTACTTTTATCAGCCCCCATTCTAGATTTGTAATTAAAAAGCATGAATCCAATACCATCGGTACGTACCCTCATAAAAAATATAGTACTAGGTGGAACCATCTAAAAGTATTCGTGCTATTAATGACTAATTACATTGATTTAAATATTACTAATATGTATCAATTCAATCTATTTAAAAGTAATGCCTAATTACATCAATTTAAATATTACTAATATGTATTAATTTTACAATTTTATATAACTAATTTTAATATTGATAACTTTGATAATTACTATTAATATGATTATTTGCATATAATACTTAATATGGCATTTAAAATTTAAAACTTAAAAGATATTTTAAAGTTTATGCCTATGGTAATTAGTAGTATGTGTTTTATGTAATGATGCGTACATGATTAATGACTATTGATTTATAGTTAATCTTACTAATAATATACTTTTATTATTATTTTTATATGAGTATATTTAAAGAAATTAATTATTAAGAGTACGAGAAATATTATCTCGATAGTAGTTATATAGTTTATATGACTAACAATGTTATTTTCATATACAACACTGACATTAATTAACCTGAGCTCTAGTTGTCCCGATGAGGCGATCAAAATTAATCATAAGGGTTATGTTAAATGAGACGACTAGTGCCCGGACATTCAGCCCGAGGCTCGCATCCAGGCGCACGTGCTGAAGTTTCCCGCGCTTGCACCAGCAGTCCATGCCTTACCTCGCAAAAAAAAACTCCCCCGCCTGCGCCTCATGTGCCCATGCGGGGCCCGCACCAGCAGACCGCACACAGAGACCGCTCAGGTCCCCTCCGCTTCTCACGCGCAATGCAACATGTGCAACATCTGATTTACTTTTGAAACATCTAGATGCAACACTTGCAACATACGTCTAAAGATAAATGAAACACTTGAAACATGTTTCTAAAACACTTACAAAAACACATGAGAAACATTTGAAAATCATTGAAAATATACGCAATATCCAGATAAAACACTTGCAGCATATATGTGAAACATATACAACACTAGATAAACACACTTGCAACAATACGTCGTCTAAAAACACAGATAAAACTTGAGAACAGACCTTTGCAACATACATGTACAACCATTGCAACATATGCAATATTCTAATCTACTATTGCAACATTCATCTGAAACAACTGCAATATACATCTGAAAAGATCCGAAACACTTGAAACATACGCTTGCAACATGTATTTTTAGTACATTGCAACATCTCCTTGCTGCTTGTGAAATGGAGGCTTGTCGACGTGTGGAGTTCTCTCGGAGGCAGCTGCGCTGTTGCCACCATCAACTCAGCGCCGACATCAGCCAGATGGACTTTGCTTACTACGAGGCCGGCGGAGACCCCTTCGTGGCCCTAACATCGTGGGCTCGACACGCAAACCCCCGTAGCCCCTGCTGCTGGCGCTAAAGTCCCCACCACCATCAGATCTCTCATCGCACATTGGATTTGGTGGAAGGAGAAGCTAGGCAGTGTGGGGAGAAAGCGCGTGAAAGGATCAAGATGCCCAAGAGGGGGGTGAATTGGGCAAGTTCTAAAATTCTTTGCAATAATTAAACCCTATGGTTGGCCCAATTAACCCCTTGTGCCTAG